ACACACACACACACAGACTCACACACACACACACACACACACTCATCATTATAAGTCTCTCCTGTCGTTCCTGGTCTGGTAATCCTCTGTAAATCTGGTTTTTCTCCTGCAGGTTTGCGACTCGAGAGCCCGATGGTCTGCTGCTGTATAACGGACGCTTCAACCAGAAACACGACTTCATCGCTCTGGAGATCGTTAATGAACAGATCCAGCTCACGTTCTCCGCAGGTAAACGAACCACGCAGAACTCCAGACGACGCACATCAGAACCATTCGCTACAGAGTCGTGTGAGAAAATGCAGCAAAAGCTCAGTGCAAATTATCAGTTGATTCACTCGTCACAATGCTAAAATAATGTACCTCACGTCATTGGCCCAGATGTCACATGACCCAGAAGCTCGTATCTTATTTGTCGTCAGTTTTAATGAGTGTCAGTTGAACTGAGAATCTGCTAATGAGCGTGTGTGTGTAATTTACCGCGGTGATCTGTTGACCTCTGCAGGAGAAACGCAGACGACGGTGTCGCCCTTCATCGCGGGCGGAGTGAGTGACGGGCGCTGGCACACGCCTTTAAGATGACAGTCAACACACACACACACACACACACACACACAGGGGTCAGAGGTCAGCAGAGGCGTCACTTTCATTTGTAAATGCTTGTTCATGATGTCAGTGAATGTGATTCATCATTGCTATTTTTATTTAGCTTTTAAGTCATTTTAGCACTTAATTTATGTCAGTTTCTAATTCTAGTTTACATTTCGGAAGTTTAAGGTTTCAACTAATATATGTACATATAGTCAGACATTTATAATCAGATCAGATCACATCTGTGTGTGTGTGTGAGAGTGTGTGTGTGTGTGTGGGCTCCTCTCTCTCTCTCTCTCTCTCTCTCTCTCTCAGCCCGTCCTGAACCGCGCAGGTCTCCCTCAGGGCCCATCCGATCAGAAGTTCGTCATGGTGACGGTGGACGATTGCGACACGTCGGTGGCTCTGCGCTTCGGTCACATGATCGGAAACTACTCGTGCTCCGCCCAGGGCAGCCAATCAGGATCCAAGAAGTAAGAGCGTGAGTCTGACGAGCGCTAATCGCCAGTAATAGCGTGACTGTGTAATGTTGTGTTGTTTTGCGACAGATCTCTGGATCTGACGGGGCCGCTGCTGCTGGGCGGCGTTCCCAAACTCCCCGAGGACTTTCCCGTCCGGAGCCGGCAGTTCATCGGCTGCATGAAGGACCTACGCATCGACCAGCGGCACATCGACATGGCCGGATTCATCGCTAATAACGGAACCCTAGCCGGTGATTAGTGCTACTGGATCTTAGCGCTGCGTTTGACACTATTGACCACAGCATTCTTTTGAATAGACTAGAAAATTATGTTGGCATAAGAGGAAGTGCATTAGCATGGTTCAAATCTTACTTATCTGACCGCAATCAATTCGTAGCAGTGAATGAAGAGGTTACTGAATAATGAGGTATCATACCGATCACAAGTACAGTATGGAGTACCACAAGGCTTAGTACCAAGACCGTTGCTTTTCACTCTTTACATTTTACCATTAGGAGATATCATCAGGAAACATGGCGTTAGCTTTCACTGTTATGCTGATGACACTCAGCTCTATATTTGTTCGCGGCCCGGCGAAGCATATCAGTTTGCTCAATTTCTTTCAACACACTATTTTTCTGTTTAATACTGTATGTGTGTGTGTGTGTGTGTGTGTGTGTGTGTGTGTGTGTGTTGCAGGTGCACGAGCGCTCGCACACGGGTGACCGTCCATACCAATGCGAGGTGCCCTCCTGCGCTAAAGCTTTCGCCACCGGTTATGGTCTCAAGAGCCACCTGCGCACGCACACGGGCGAGAAACCCTACAAATGCCCCGAGGACATGTGCTACAAAGCCTTCAAAACCTCCGGAGACCTGCAGAAACACGTGCGCACGCACACCGGTACGAACGCACGACCGAACTGAGTTCAAACGCAGAAATTTCCAGCGATATCGTCGACTTGATCGTCCAGCTCAGTTCAGTTTAAATAGTATCTGTGCAATGACATCACTGAATTCAATGAACTGCATTTAACAAAAAATTGAGTGTTTACTATTGTCGTTTTGCATTATTGACACACTATTTTTCTGTTTAATACTGTAAAGCTGCTTTGACACAATCTGTATTGTAAAAAGCGCTATAAAAAAAAGAAAAAAAAATTTGTTGCGTTGACCATGACAATGCTATCCCGTAATGAGTGTACGATGTGTTTTCCCAGGATGCTCTGCGAAGCGTCATTTCTGCAGCACTAACCCGTGTCTGAACGGCGGCAGCTGCGTCGATCTGTGGGGTTCGTTCCGATGCGACTGTCCGCTGGGATTCGGAGGACGGAACTGCGAGAAAGGTGAGCGAGCGTCACGTGAGCCGTGCATCCGTTAGCGGCAGATCGGTCATTAACGACACCTGTCTGTCCGTCTGTCCGCAGTGATGCCCAACCCGCTGCGTTTCCATGGTAACGGCCTGTTGTTGTGGCGGGATCTGGCCGCCATGG